ACCAGCCAGTTGCACAGTCTTTCGGACCCAAACCTGGAAGACAGGAGACACCGATTCTACCTAGTCGCTCTGTTCATTTCTTCATGCCTCGCTTCCACGTTATCTGTTGACCTCCATGCGGTTTCTTCCAACCTGGAGCTCCAACTGTGAATAGGGCGCGTATGGATCAGTAATCCATACGTGCACTCATGCTTAGTGCGATTTATAACCATGTTAGACCAATTGGTTTGAAAGCACAAGGAAAACGGAATGCTGTTTTTGTTTATCGCTACCTGTGGAATCCATTTGTGGCAGCTCCTAATGGAATACTGCTACCATTTAGGACTATTGGCCGATCGAACTATACGCTTTACGATAGCATTTCGACCCAATCTGATTTGCTGCGCAAGACTTCTTTGTTGCACCCAGGCTAACCCGTTGTTGAATAAGCTTATTTGGTATCCTATTCTCTCGCAGACGGTGCGATTGCCAGTTTCAGATTTTCCAACCATTAACTATATAATTTCGTTCCGCCGTTTCGTGTGATTACCGGGAAACATTAAGCAACAATGTTCTATGATTATCAGTTTTTATTCCATCATCCCACTGTATTTAGACTGCATCACAACAACTTCACCTTTTAGTTGTATCATCCTTTTCCTATCCTCCATATATGGCAAGTGGTATGTATTATTGCAGATGAGTATTAAAATTCCGTGATTCTCTCGGTCTGTCAGACTACAGCAATAATCTACACACGCATACACACACAGTAGTTTTATGTCCATTGAACTGAAATTCGGAGTCTACCAAACTTTTATCCTTCGAAGGTAAAGTTGACTTATCTGATTGTGCAACGGATTTCGTGATACCTGCTTCTGAAAATTTACTAAATCCATTTTTTCTACGCGGTTCATAGCTTGAATTTTGTCCTACCTGATAATGGTTAGAAGCTCAGCAAAACGCTCAGCCTCATTGTACTAAGTCATTGTTAGAATTTCGGGAAATTTCCTTTGTGCTGGTTCCCGTGACTCGCTTTTTGCTGACTAAAAACACTGGTTTATGTAATCGGGTGTTTTCATCCTCAACATTTCCGTTTCGATCTGTTCTCCTGGTGTCACTGAGTATCTGTTTTCGCAGTCCACGATATGTTCAAGCTGTTCTCTTTCTATTCGCACATTATATGATTCATCACTCTCAGTTCAGAGACCTGGGTTTCCCATGCTCTGCACTACACAATAGCTCCCAGTTATCATGATGTTTATCGTTGGACTATGTGAATATTTGTTCCAAATCATTAATGGTCTATCATAAATCACTTCCTAGAGTTAGCTTTTGTGATTCTCTCTAGCAAAGTTGCTACGGTGACCTTTCCAATTTTCCAACAATAATCGTTTATTATTTCTCGAATCACAGGCATCTGCAGAGACAAACCCACCCACGGTGCCGTGGAGAGTGACATCTTCTGTTATTGGTATGTGTGTGGTATGTATGAGTTAGAACTAAAGGAAGTTTCGAGTCTGTCGGGTTAGATATAATAAAAGTAGATCAATTGTGTACAGTTGTGCACGCGTGTTGTAACTACAAATTCCGGAGCACATGCTTCCAGTTGAAGCAATCATAGATGGTCAGTCTCAAGCATGTGAATGATTCCAGTTAGCAAGTTATATCCATCATTTTTAGTGTTTGCATACACTATATTAGCACATTTGGAGCATGCAAAACAATTATTGTAAGTACTGCCCTTCATGTTCATGTAATAAGTTGGCCTGCTGGCAACCACAGACCTGTTCAAGCGTTTCTGTTCTTACCACAAAAAAAAACACCCATTGCGTGGTAGATTTAGCGAGCGACATATTGTTTCGACCGTAACATCATGATGATGTTGCCTTTTTGTGTTGTCTCTTTAACTACAAAAAGCTAAATATAATCAATTAGATCCATCGACTGGTAAATAGTTGGCATTGAATTATTCAGTCTCAAGTTTAAGCGCCCCATATAAGAGATAATTGCAACCGCCTATTGAGGCCCATGTGAATCACATGGTCAATGATGTGGGTCATGGTTATCGTTTTTTGCGCATCAACAAGTTCGTTGCTCACCTTTGGATGTGTATAAAGTTGCATACCAATAAAAATGACTGATTTCAAATCCAGTGATCTAAACAGTAAGCCTCTTCACAGCAATATTGCCAGAATGCCGTGACACTTCTGTTCCTCCAATTTCTCATCCGCTTGAGGAAGCCAAAGTAGTTGCCTTCGAATTTGCAACTAACTCCGCTCTACCCGATTCACCCGTCTAACCCTCCATATATTATTGTTCATATGTCCTACTGGTCTGAATGCAGACTATGCCAAAAGATTACGACACAACGCTATTTATATCAGAAAACTAGATCCACAATTTTTTTTGGGTGCAACACTATCATGTTTCCCACGTAAATTTTCTTGAGAGAATCGCAACCGAAACATTCGGCTAGCCAAAACCGAACCCATCACGACGAGACTGCACATTGACGTGATGGGATGGCTTGTGCACCTCTCTGACCCAACGAGTGACACAAAATGGCTTTTGTCAAACCGAAGATCTAATCATGCCTGGGAAGTCGAAGGGTAGAGGTCAGATGGAATCCAGTCTCCTGTTCATCCAGGTTGGGGGTTCGACTAGAATTGGCGTTTCGGTCGGTTAAAAATGGTGGAGGAGTAATTGATCCAAGTAAATGGGCCTCCACTTCGCGTCACCCGCTGGCTTGCGGCTAGGTTCTTGTAAGAATTGAAGGCTTTGGTTGAGAACCCTAATCGTTCTCCCGCTTAGTGACTATATACCCTAGAAGTACCTGGGGTTCACTCCCTCTGCTGTTCATCATACTTAGGTGTGTAATAAAAATAATAAAAAAATAAATGTGCATTGCGAGTTTGGCAGCGATCAATGAAGTTCGCTTCTCTGTGTTTCGCTGTGCCATGATGATGATGATGACCCGATGACCCGCAAGGTAGGTAGGTGGTATTTGAAAAAGGTAATCTATTGACTCCCGATGTCAACTTAATCGAATCAAATGTCCCGTGGATGGAGTCAGACGTCCAAGGTGCGCAGTAAAGCCGTTAATCACTGCCAGAACCTGGAAGGTGTGAGTGTGGTTCGTACTCCTTCTCGGCGGGTTTGGATTCAGGCGACCATACTGAGGTTCTCGGAGGAAACTCCCACATACAATACAACAGGCCATCTTTTCACCAGAACGAAATGGCAAATCCTGCCGGCACCAGATGTACATAAGCCGCTCGGTTCCGATGGGATTCACGCATCAGCCGCAAAATGTGCTCTAGAACCGCCCCCGTCCTACGACACTTATTTCACCCATCCCTGAATGAAACCCAGGGTAATCCGGGAATATGGTTGTTTACCAGCTGAACACGACGCGACATCACACAAATTGATAAGATTCCATTGCTACCAGGCAGCCGTTTTTGACTGCTGTTGATCAATTCCTCTCTCTCTCTGCGTGATCTTGCATTTCTTACGGGTAACCATCAGATAGCGAACTGCAGAGAAGCGAACTTCACTCATCGCTGCCCAACTCAAAATGCATGTGGACTGGGGTTTGATGGACGGGTACTGCTAGGGTGTTAAATCACTAAGGAGGAGAACGATTAGGGTTCTCAACCAAAGCCTTCAATTCTTACAAGAACCTAGCCGCAAGCCAGCGGGTGACGCGAAGTGGAGGCCCATTTACTTGGATCAATTACTCCTCCACCATTTTTAACCGACCGAAACGCCAATTCTAGTCGAACCCCCAACCTGGATGAACAGGAGACTGGATTCCATCTGACCTCTACCCTTCGACTTCCCAGGCATGATTAGATCTTCGGTTTGACAAAAGCCATTTTGTGTCACTCGTTGGGTCAGAGAGGTGCACAAGCCATCCCATCACGTCAATGTGCAGTCTCGTTGTGATGGATAACGCTGTAAATCCGTCTCCTTCTATCTTTCTGCAAGGAGATGATGGCTCAAATTAACCTCAGTTTTGTTCATTAGCGAGAACTTTAGCACGAGAGTTAAGTCATTGTTGTTAAATTCTCTTTTTTCATCATATTTGATTTGAGGTTTGATCTTCGAATTCTTTCAGCCCCTCCTGCTCATCCCGTTTTTCGTTTATTTTTATTTTTTTGTTATTTTAGCTTACACCTTCTGTACACCATTTTGCCGATAATCTAAGCAATTGGGTATCGACGCTCGCCCATTCCCCACTGACCCTTTCTCATCAACAACGTAAACATTCGAATTAGTGATTTTCGTTGCCCAAGCGACGAATGTTCATCGATAACCCCGATCAATAACAAAATGTTGTTACGGGGATTTCAAATGACAGACAATCTGTCAGTTTGTGAACACGAATGCGGTTTTGTAATGACACCTGTTTTGTAGGGATAACCGCAGCTGGATTGGGCCTGACTGTCAAAGCAGACTACCAGAAGAAACGTACAATGTACATAACCGCTTGTTGCCGTGTCGTCATCCATTCAGCTCTTTACATGGATGTTCTCCTCATATATCTTCCCGTATTGATGTCTTTGAATCGCTAGGTTTATTCTTTACATTTTATACCAATTTTTACTATGGTGATTCATTTTTCCGCTCTACAATGGACCAGAATGGTATACTTGATTGATCGAATAATTCTTACCCTTCATCTGTAGCTAACTTTTCACTAATCATTGTTTTTTGTATCTTGCTGTGTACTCATCTGTCTGCTCTCACGCATTGGCTAAATGCCCCCCATTAAAGCCTTTGTTATTGACTTAATCATTCTGGTACCGTTTCTTTTTTTGTGAATGCAGTTTTGTCCTGGGTTTCTAAGGTTTGTACTACTGGGAGACAAATCAAATTGGTACAGAACCAATCATGCCATACCAGTGTCCTTCTAATCGCATTATTTTCTCCCGTTTTCTACTGTAGCGACCTTCGCTTGGTGATTGTTCTTTTACATCACCGTACGGATGTACTTCTTTCTGTGACACGTCGGCATGGAAAAGCACTCGAATTCCCCAGTCCCCATGGTAACTTCCACTGTATCCGCTGTCGGGACAGCCGTGTCCGTGGCCACCGCGATGGCTGACTCGACAATGTCAAATTCGCCCATGTCCTCCAGTCAGTCGTTTACCTCCTCTTTTCCTGATCACGCATTAGACTCCACTCTTCCCCGTCCGGGTGCTCTGCTATCCGAGCTCCTATCCGACTGTGATCCGCCAGTGGTGATCAATGATTCCCTGTCCACAGTTCCCCCGTCCATACCCATTACTACAACCAGTCTTGGAGCTGGAGCTGCTTCACCCTTGTTAAATCCCACTTCCATCACCACCTCCACGACAACAACGACGACCGGGACGTCCGGCTGTAGTGTAGGTGCTGCTGGGGTTGTTGGTTGTGTGGACGATCTCTTGAATGATACAGTGCGACAATCTGTATTCGCTCGAGCTACTGTCAAGATGGACGGTGAGTGCTCCTTCTGGCTTTTAAAGGATTGTTTTCAAATATGTGTTGCCTGGTCTTGTACGAAGCGGACTTTTCAGTGGATTTTCAAAGTGTTGGTTGAATTACCGATGGAATACACAATTTTACGCTCTCGATTGCTCACACATATGTACCTAAAAAAATATGCCCAATTCGATGAACCGGGCACACTGTTTTTCGTACAGACACGCACACCGTTAATACTCGGTGACACGATTATAGTACGACAGTAATGGACTAATTTTATCCTCGGCTAGGTTGAATAAGGGAGCACGAGGTGGGTAGTTCGACATTGGGGAAAATTCCATGACTGATTGATATCATTGAGTTTATCGATCCACCAGACCATTGCTCGTGTTCGTAGGTCTATTGTGGGCCGTGTGTGTGTGTGTTACATCTTCCCTTTTTCGTTTTTTGCCCGCAGCTTTCTGTCTGATTTTGTCCAGGGGAGAGGGGGGTTTCTTGCGTTCTCCTCTCTATCACTGAGTTCATTCCCAGTTCTTAGGTTCCTAATCTGTTCTCTGGCGGCCAGACATGATGTGATAAGGGAATATAAGCGATTATAAAGACTAAACTAAACAGAATCACTTCATTGTGCTAAGCTTTGAGAAAACGATTTAGGAGTTCCCAGTGGTTTTTTCTTACCGAAACATTTGAACTGCACGGTAGTGATTGCCGAATGTTATGAGGCTGCACTCCCCAACTGTTCATCATCATTGTAAAACATGATACAACGAAAAAATTCCCTAATTTATGCCAGGCTTACTTACCATGTACACAAGGAAGGCGCACGAAAGTGCATGGTTAATGGTTAAGAACAAAGTAGAACAGACTGTACAATTCGACCATCTCGCACATTCAGTATTCCACATTGCAAGAGTCTGTTTATCAATCATCTGCTTCATTTTGAAAATATCTGTACCGTATCGTGATATGTGGGCTGATACAGATAGTTCAATTAGTGGACGACACTGTACGCATTTTGTTTGTTTCATCTTGTAATTGGATAAATCAATCGTATCTGTTCAAAATAATTGAGACGTTCAACCACCGAGAGTTGGGTGAATTACAATGAACGCTCAGTTTTTCTCGCTTGGAGTGAATATATGCCAGTCCTATTCATCATTGATTTGATGAGAGAATGACTGATCTGTGTTGTTGAATTGAGAAACTGAGCACATCATATTTTTTGGGTGTGCTTTGCGTTGTGGGTCAAAGTTCAGACTCTGTGGCATACCGTTCACCAGTTCAGTTTGCTTCTTTTCTCTGGTAGAAGCAACTTTCTTACACTTGCATATAAAATCAATATACGTACGGTTCGACTGAGAGTGAATGCGTATCGTGCTGATTGTACACTGAAAAACTGCTGGATCTCAGCAACCGGCGGACTAGTGTAAGTATACGTATCGTTTCCAGACCATGTTCCAAACAAATCGTGCTTTGTTATCATCATAGCAAAGAAATCAGTGAGTCGTTTACCTGCGAGTGAATTGCTTTCAGGTTGGCTAAACCAAAACAGTTGACAGTTCTTATGTGGATTCACAATTGGAATCAATTAGTCCAAGCCTAACCTACAAAACACCGATCCCGGGGCGGTGTGTAGAAACCGCAATCGATTGGTGGCGGGCGTCTGACCAGCGAACGTGTTTGTTCCCCAATTCTGAATGCCCAGTAATCCCTATCGCTTTGTACACCGCAGTCGGTGACCGTTGCGACACGTGTGTCCTTGACTCGGCTCATTCGTCTTTCTTGGATGGCTTAGAACTGGGATTTTCCTACTTCCCCGCCTGCTTCTCGCCCTATAAGGGAAACACCTTCGTCAGGAGAATGTAGTGGGTAGGACTTCCCAGCTGTGATGCCTCGTGTGATTCTGTCCGGGGTATAGCACCAGCCGATGTAAGCATATTGGCTTTACCAAATGGTCGTTTTTCTTTTCTATAACAAGATTCCAAAAGAAAAGACCATATGGCAGTACTGCACGATTTATGTCCAGGACGATTTCGCTGCAGAAAATTCAATGCTTATATAGGGCTTTAGCATAGCAACAAAGTAAAGCAAAATACATTAAAAACAAACAAAACATAAAAGAGGGAGGGGTAAAAGGACCAATATCATCACGGTAGGGAGAGGCTAACATAAAGTTCTTTCTGCTGACCCAGGGAGGGGGGCTTCCATCGATTAATCGCAATCGCTTCAGCAAACCTTAGCAATCTTGCGACTTGTGGCTTGTAGACAATTCGAAACACTGTGCCTCGGTCGACTTGGTGTTGCGTCATCAGCAGATGTCGAGCAATTGCTGAGGACGGGGTCTTGTAATTTCGACCGTCGTTTCTATGCAGCGGGCTTGACCTCAATTGGGTCAGCTGATTTGGGACCCAATTGGGAATTCGTTCCACCACCCGATTGCGTTCGGCCCAGGTAGGTTGCCCCGCAACCACATTGGAATTGATAGATTAGATTAGAGTTGGCGTACAGAGGCAGACATTCTTTTGCCGGGGGTCTGGGTATCCTGGTTGTTCGGTAGACGATTTGGGGGTCGGCTGCGTAGGAGGTTCGAGCGATGGCTGACCTCACTCTTTTGTAGAGCAGGCGGTTTAAGTCATCACCTTTGAATTCAAGGTGTAATGTGACCCGCAATTGGGGAACTGACGCAATCGGTTCTTTCGCGATTTTCGGTTTGCTATACTTATTAACAAACGCTTCGAGGTAAGCCTTTTTTACTAGAAACTCCCGGAGGTTTTGCAGTTATTTGATCAAGAATGAATCGATCGATTAGGAGAAAGAGGGCAACCCTGACAAACACCACTTTCTGTAGTGAACTCGTACGACAAATTGCCGTAAGCTGGAACTCGACTTCGGCTATTAGTATAAAGGGATCGCAGTATTGAAGTTAACTTCTCGGGCACACCCTTCAGAGAAAGGCAGTGCCAGAGTTTAGAATGGTCGACTGAATCGAAGGCCGATTTCAGATCCACGAAGACGGAGATGGTGGGTCTACGAAAAGAATGTCGGTGTTCCAGAATTCGACAGAGAGTGAAGATGTGGTCGATAGAACCTCGACCGGGTCTAAAAACAGCCTGATTCTCACGTGTACACCGTTCATGTGCGGCAGATCATCGTCGGAATATGATACCGGCTTGAAGTTTAGAGAAACTGTTGGTTGAACTAATTCCTCTGTGGTTTTCGCAAGAGAACCTATCACCTTGATTCTAAATCGGTATGATGACCGATTCACACTATTCAGTTGATACTGGTTCCCTTTACCGCTTTGAGTACAAGAGTTTCGTTAATTCCGGAACCAGGCCTCGTTAGGGCAGAAAATGGTATACCTTTTGCGATAACTTACTTCTGGGGTAAGTTCCATTTCGGATGGAAGACTGGCATCAAATGGGATCAATTGTCAAGTCGAGCTGGGTAGCAATAAGTCAGATGTCGACCGGGACCAGTTAAACTGAGTCTCGAAGTGTTCAGCCCAACGGCCAAGACGGTGTTGCTGATCGTGAATCACGGTGTCATTGGATTCCTTAATTACCTCGCAATTTTTTGCTCGAGTTAATCACGGAAATGGGTGTTCGTCAGGGTTGCCCTCTCTCTTTTTCTGTTCAATCTTGTTATAGATTTGACCATGGAGAGAGATCTATCCTCGTTCGAGGATAATGGCATCGGTGGTGGCAGACTGTCTGATCTAGAGTATGCAGACAATAATGTGCTACTAAGTGAAGATCCAGATGAGTTGCAAGCTTTTCCGGATAGCTAGATTACTAGTGTAGCCATTTTCGGTATGCGTTTTGCACCTTCAAAGTGTAAAATGTTGCTACAATATTCGGTTGGTCCAGACTCACTCTAACTGGGGAAGTTATAGCGCAAGTGGACATTGTTTTTTATTTGGGCAGCCACATCTAATCCGGTTGATGCATCACGAATGAATTGTCAGCTCGCACACAGAAGGCTCGGTTGGAATTTGTCAACTTGATACATCTGTGGCGCCGTCGTGACTGTGTGAAGGGTCTGCTGCGGCAGTTCGGCCAGTTCTGCTATACGACTCGAAAACCTGACCACTAAGAAAACAGGTTAAAGATAGACTGTCGGTGTTTGAACACCGCGGTCGCCCACTGGAGCAAGTGGTCAACCTCCGTAGATTACGTTTGTTGGGAATCATGTGTTACGCATGCCACCAGATAGGTTGCCACGGCGAGAGATGTTCGCCGAGGCAGGTAGTGGGTGAAGTAATGCCGAGGGTGGCCAAGCTATGACCTGGTATGAGAGTATGAACACCCTACCCGGGAGACTGGGTTTTGTAGGTCCCATTAGGTTCCCTGGCTGGGGACCTCGGAATGATAGTAACCGATGGTTAGGGACCGAGTGATACAAATGAGTGTCGTAAACAATGGCGTCGGTGCATCTGTTCAATTTCTCCTCAACATTAGTACGCTGGAATTCTAAATTTTTTCTTCGATTGTACTTCAACCTTCCTGTCTTACTCTCACTGTTCATCCAAATGGGCACTCAAACGACATCAGCCAAAGCCGGCTCACGAAAGTGCATGGTTAATGGTTGTACCAGCTGAAACTGTTTTTCTCCTTCCCGGTCGCGTGTATTATCTTTCGTTCAGATAAGTNTAATTGAAGCAGTCTATTCATGGTCAGGCGGCGGGAGGGGACTGTCTTAAACAACCTGGGGTGTGTGTGTGTGGAGGGGGGGGGTGATGTAATGTGATTTTGCTTCGTGCGTATCGTTTTTGTAAAAAGCGGTTTAGGAGTCATCCAGTGTGTTTCTATTGGCGCAACAATCGATATTCCTTGCACTCAACACTTGCCAATGTACTCGGGTGAGAGTAAGGGTATGGTTTTTGGTTAGTTAGTTAGTGCTCTATGATTGGCTGAGTTGCCCTTTTTCTCAATGATTTCAAATTGTTTGTTAGGTGTAATTAATGATCAACTGCATCAGATACTATTGCCTGAGTTGAAAAACAAAATCTGAGACAAACTGAGTCATCTATTTGATGGTGTTCCACTATCCATAGTTGTTGATTTTTATCACACTGTTACAAATGTACTTTTGGAGGACGCAAGAGACACGATTCTGTGTTAGATAACCAATCCGCCAATTTTTTAAAAGCTTGTTATGCTTTTTTTCGAAGCCGTTAGTCGCTTATCCGAATTCCGGAGAGCAGTGAGTGTTGTATTACGTCGATCTGCCTGTGTGGTCTTAGCACGACACAGTAGGACGTGTTCTTTTCAGGAGAGCGGGCGCGTATGTGTGTGTGTGCGGATTCACCCCCACCTCCCGTCCCTCGCGTGAGTTGGGGAACGGAAAATCATTTACGTTATTCCGTCTCCAATTCTGCGCTTTAAATTGTGCTCAATCTGACGAGCAGACGTCCTGCCTCTATGCCACAGGAACAATACTGATTACGTGATAGTTCATGTCTAATCGAATATAAGAACTTTTTCGGGTTCATACCGTCGTTGGTGTTCGAGAAAAGTGCATGTGTGTGTGTATGTGTGCAGTCAACACAGAGGCTAACAAGGTCATTTACACTGGTTGATAATTATTTCATGTAGATTTTTTTCTATCTATAGGTCATTCGATCTCAATTCAATCTCGTAGATTTTGTTCGTATGACATGGAACTTTATCCAATCTTGTCAAGAATTTGCAAATTGGTAAAATGATGCTTATGTTTGGACCAATCTAATTGGAGTTTCTAATTCGTCCAGTCGAGGTTAGAGATTATCCAATTCAAGCACAAATCTATCTAACCGTTTAGAGCTGTGCTCACCACCAACCCCCAAACGTGGAACGAGGTGCACTTAGACAGTCTGATTTTGTTTTCATTTTACATCCGTGCCCACATGTCAGTTGACCTTCGTTTAGGGCTTGGGGGTGACGTGGGGGGGGGGGGGGGGGAGTAGGCGGAGGAGAGATTGATTCTGTTCGGAATGAATGTGCCACGGCGGTAGGTCAGGCGATTAACATATGGAAAACGTACTGGGATTGATCGGTCTTCTGTGACACGCGGAAGACTGCATGTACCATAGAGGATAATTCGATGATGTCATCTTTTAACCTCACCATCATTCAAGAAAGAACCTGTCTTACCCGGTTCAGAGCGTATACCAAGTCACGTGTTGAGCGAATGCGGTAAAGAATCTTCAAATGAGTTTACTTACTTTACTTTACGGCGGCTGGCTCCTGGGATAAGTCGGCTTCATGGATATCTCCAATTGCCGCTGCCCACGCTCGGTATCGCCGTAGCATGACTAGCAAGACAGGTTGAGTGCATATCCCTAAAATTTCTTGGGAGTTAGGTACAGGAAACGTCCCCAGTGTCACCCGGCTTTGGGTCGAGTTGGCATCTCTAGCCTTTGCACATCCAAGTGCTAACTGCAATGCAGCAGGAGGATAGCGCATGGTTGCTGGTGGCCCTCTGGGAGGAGCTCATACGCCATTGACAGTTGCTAGCTGAGCGGAGGTCCATGCATCTCTGGTGAGTACAGAGTCATTGTCTCGACCGCTGAGTCGTGAAACCGACTTCGTCAGCACAACACGTACGTTAGACACCGACTTGCCGGAAGTTGAGCTCCCGGTTACCTTCAACCTTGTTTGACCCGCCTGTCGAACGGTTTACCGGGGTGGCCGCTGTTGCATCCAAACAGCTTCTGGGAGCCACAGGTGAGAGCTGAGCACTCGGTGGAACCCAAAGAACAGGGGATGCCTAAAAGCGGCCAACAGCCCTCCGAGTCACATGTGCTACTCCTACCGGGTACGCCATACACCCGAACGACTATCAGCGAAGGGTGCACCTCAAGCGGGTGATGTATCGGTGTCACTGGTGCGGAACACAGTTGGGGTCTTATTCTGCGGAACGATAAAGCAAGGTTTCAGGCACCAATGATAGATGGAAAGATCAGTGTCCGGAGGTCGAAGTGAAACACACAACCGGAACGATTTTGTCGACATGATAAAATGATAGGGGTTCTGTTATGGTATGGTGAGCTGTTTAGTCAAATAGAAATCGTGAGTCTTTTTTCTTCGACTGAGTCATGAGTGGTTCGTTCTACTGTCGGGAAATCAAACTACGCTTAGAACTCGTCTTGGTGAATGTTTTACAACAACAACAAAGACATATTCCTCTTTCATATCCTTCGTTGAAACTTTACGCTTGTCAGAGAACTCACGTGACTATCAGGAAGTGAAAAGTACCAAATGTGGATGAAACTGAGACAAACGAACTGGAGATGGTTGTGTAAAAATCACGTTTGTTTTCATGCCATAGCGTGTATTTGCCCCTCCCGTTTACCGGAACCGTTACCAATGGGGTCAGAAAAAAGAACTTCGACTTTTCCATAAATTATGTCCCACAGAATGTTTTCCGACCTTACAAACTAGGGAACAGAGTAACTAGACCCGAAGTATGCTGGTGATATCGCCTTACTCGCTTAAAGCAAGCAAACATTTCAAACCATTTTGAAACGCTTGGCGAGTGAAGTTGCTCACATCCAAGTGTAATGTACTTCTTACAAGTTGATTGGACCCCGTTCCCGGGAACCCCATCGCTAGTGGTCAGCAGCTTTATTTTGCCTGGGAAGTGAAATAGCAACCAGAAGTGGTGTTGTCAGATCTAATGCATGCTTATCGCGGCCTCGATATCCACCTCTCTTGTGGAACAGGTGTACACTGCTTCAGTCCACGGTGTTTCCCTTTGCTATTGGAAAATATGGTCCACCGTCGTCAAGGTTATCTGATATGTGCTGGTATTCGATCTTCACTCTTCGTACATTTTTCTCGTTTGGCAATGAAATCATGTGATCGATCTATAAGTACGGAAACGTGCATTGATTAGAGATAGTTGTCCTCTAACCAACACATTGACATTAGTCCTCCTACTCTGGGTTTGAATGTATCCCACATACACCCCATTTCACTGCCTTCTCTATTGTTCCCTGTTAGTGATCTCTGGGTATAATTTCATAAAGTGTTACAGTGATTGTTAGTAGCGAACTAAAAGTTCATTGAAAGCTGTTCATTCATTCATTCCGTTTTGGATCGAACGATTGGTGAATGGAGTGTCCGATCGAAATCCTTGGAGGGGTGGTCCAGAATCGAGAACAGTAGCGTAAGTATTGCACAGATCCCCAATGTGGATATCCATAACTCATGGAAGATTCCCATATGAATATCATATATATATATATATATATATATATATATATACTAAGAAGACGTCTTGAGAAAGCTACTACAAGAACATTTCCA